TGCTCTGCACAATTTTATGCTAAAGAAACTGAGAACACAAAAGAAATACAGGAATTTCTCCAAAAACACGACATGCTCCAACTATCAGAAGATCAGAGAGATGCTGAGTAAGCTTATCTCAGAAAAGGAAATAGACTGGGATGTAAAAGAAGCAAAGGGGAAAATCTCCAGGTCCTGAGAGATTCCCAGAAGAATTTAATCAGATTTGGAAAGAACAGTTATTTCAAATAATTTCAAATTTTTCATATTTCAAATAATTGTCCCAAATAAGAAAACATCCCACTAAGACAAACACAGACCTAAGATCTAAACCTGGGAAAGTCAAAACACAGAAAGAAAACTCCAAGCCAACCTCATCAATGAACACCACCCCCAATTTTTAAACTAGATCCTATCAAAATCTGTGGAGACTTTCTAGGGCCAAGATGGTGGAGCAAGGAAGGAACCAGAAGCCCTCCAAATTCCCCTCCAAACAACTAGAAAACTGCCTCTGACTTGGTCTAGGTGCAGGGAAGCTTACCAGCCCAGCAAGAGCGAAAGGTCCAGGAGGAGGAGCAGCAGCAGCCACCAGCCTCACAGCAGGGGGCCTGCCGCAAGGCACCCCCAGGGTAAATGAGCAGTCAGTGCACCACAGTGACCCCATCCCCAGCACAAGGCCCATTGCTGACCAGGAGCAAAGCCTGGTCCAGTGGCTGGTCCACATCAAGATCCCACCCCTGGGACCTACCAGCCAAGGGACCCTGTTTCCACAGCAACCCAGTAGTTGGGCCCCACCCCTCCTGGCAGATCAGCAACAAAATTACTCCTTCAGGCCAGGCTAGAAGAGAGGCCCTGTTTCCATAGTAGCAACCCAGCAGCAAGGCCCCAGCCCTCAGGCAGATCAGCAAGAACATCCCTCTTCCTGGGCATGATAGCAGAGAGTCACTGTTTCCACAGCAACGCAGCAGCAGGGCCCCACTTCTGGGGCAGACAGGCAACAAGATTCTTCCTCCAGGGCCAGCCACTAGAAAGGCTGTTATCATAGTAACCGAACAGTAAGGCCCTCCTCTGGGGCAGCTAAACTCCACACTCATGGGAAGCCAACAGAGAGGCTCCCACCTCCCAGTACAGTGAAAACAGGCTGCTAAGCCCTGAAGCCCAGCGAAAGCCAACAATAAGACCCAAAGACCTAGCACAAAAAGCATGGGACAATACAGGACCAGAGCCCAATTCTCACATAAAAATATCAAGTCACAAAAAAAGGAGAAAAAAACGAGCAAAAAAACAAACAAAAGAATAGACTACATAAAGTTACTATGGTCTTGGAGGATCAGGGCATAAACTCAGAAGAGGATAATAATGTAAAAATGGCTACATGTGAAGCCTCAAAGAAAAACGTAATTTGGTTTCAGGCCCAAAAGGAATTCCAGGAAGAGCTTAAAAAGGACTTTAAAAAGCAAATTAGAGAAGTAGGAAAAAAATTAGGAAAAGAAACGAGAGTAGTGTAAGAGAATCATGGGAAAAAAGTCAATAGCATGGGAAAAGATACAAAAATTTACAAAGAAGCTAACTCTCTAAAAAATAGAATTGGCCAAATGGAAAAGTACAAAAGGTCACTGAAGAAAATAATTCCTTAATAATAAGAATTGAGCAAATGGAAGCTAATGACTCTATGAGGCATCAAGATACAATAAAGCAAAGGTGAAATTTCTCATTGGAAAAACTGATATAGGAAACAAATCCAGGAGAAACAATATAAGAGTTACTGGACTACCTGAAAGTCATGATCAAAAGAAAGGGGAAAAAAAAAGCCTGGACAACATCTTTCAAGAAATTATCTAAGAAAAATGCATTCATGTATTAGAACCAGAGAGCAAAACAGAAATTGAAAGAATCCATTGATCACCACCTGAAAGACATCCCCAAATGAAAACTCCTAGGAACATCATAGCCAAATTTCAGAACTCACAGATCAAGGAGAAAGTATTATAAGCAGCTGAAAAGAAAATTCAAATATCCTGGAACTACAGTCAAGATTACACAGATTTGGCAGCTTCCATGTTAAAGAACCAGAAGGCCTACAATGTGATAAACCAGAAGAAAAAGGAGTTAGGATTACAACCAAGAATCACCAATCCAGCAAAACTGAATTTAATCTTTCAGGGGAAAAAAACGGACATTTAACAAAATGGGGGGGGTGCACTAGGTGGTGCAGTGGATAGAGCACTGGCCCTGAAGTCAGAAGGACCTGAGTTCAAATCCAGCCTCTGGCCAAACACTTGACACTTACTAGCTGTGTGACCCTGGGCAAGGCACTTAACCCCAATTGCCTTAAAAAAAAATAGAAGACTTTCAAGCATTCCTAATTAAAAGACTACAGCTGAAAAAAAATTTGACTTCCAAGCAAGGTAAACATAAAAAGGTAAAAAGGAAACAAGAAAGAGAAAACATAAGAAATTCAATAAGGTTAAACTGTTTATATTTTTTGTACGGCATGATAATATTTGTAACTCTTAAGAACTCTATTACTATAAGAGCAATTAGAAGGAGTACATGTACACAGATGGTGTGGATATAGGTGACTTTGCTGGGATAATATCTCAAAAAAACCCCAAAATACAGGGGTGACAGAAAATTGCACTGGAAGAAAAAAGAAGGGGGAGATTGAATGGGGGTAAATTATCCCACAGAAAAGAGGCATGAAAGAGCTATTGTAATGGAGGGGAAAATGAGAGGATGGCAAGCAAAGCGTAAACTTTGGCTTCAACACTGGCTCAAAGAAAGAATAACGTATACACTCAGTTGGATACAGAAATCTATTTTACCTTATAAGGAAGTAAAAAGGGTTGGGGATAACAGAGAGGGAAGAGTAAACTAGGGAAGGAGGTGATAGAGAAGGAAAACATTTGTGAGGAGGGCAAGGATTGGGGAGCTAAGAAGGAAGGGAACAAGTGAAAAATTGCATGGAGGGAAATACACAGTTAGCATAACTATAAATGTGAATGGGATGAACTCACCCATAAAATGGAAGCAGAGTGGATTAAAAACAAGAATCCTACAACATGTTGTTTATAAGAAATACATTTGAGCAAAGAGATACACACAAGGTAAAGGTATGGAACTGGAGCAGAATCTATTATGCTTCAGCTGAATCGAAGAAAGCAGGGGTAGCAATCATGATCTCAAACAAAGCCAAAGCAAAAATGGATATGATTAAAAGATATAAGGAAGGAAACTGTATCTTGCTGAAAGGTACCATAGACAATGAAGTCATATCAATACTAAACATACATACACCAAATGGTATAGCATCTAAATTTCTGAAGGAGAATTTCAATGAGTTACAGGAGGAAATAGATAATAAAACTATATTGGGGGGACCTCAACTTTCCCCTCTCAGAACTAGATAAATCTAACAAAAAAATAAACAAGAAAGGAGTTAAGGAGGTGAATACAATTCTGGAAAAGCTAGATATGATAGATCTCCGGAGAAAACTGAATGAGAATAGAAGGGAATATACCTTTTTCTCAGCAGTACATGGCACATACACAAAAACTGACTGTGTATTAGGACATAAAAACCTCACAATCAAATGCAGAAAAGCAGAAATAGTAAACACATCCTTTTCAGATCATCACGCAAGAAAAATCACATTCAATAATGGACAACGGAAAAAGAGATTAAAAATTAATTGGAAAATAACCCCAAAAAACAAGTGGGTCAAAGAACAAACCATAGAAACAATCCATGATTTTACTGAAGAAAATGACGAATACTACGACATTTGTGGAACAGAATGTGTGTTGCCCTTTGAGTGAATACAAGAGTGGCAGTGAACCTGCCTGGCTGCATCCTTCAGCATGTCACCAGCAAGGACCTTGACAATTCTTATAACAGGATTAAATGAGTCACAACATCTAAGGTACATAAGATGGCAAATAGTAGGCACATATAACCAGCCTCAACCCCCTTTCCAGTCTTCCAACATTTCACTCCCCCTCCTCCTCTGACCCAGGGATACTAGCCTCTTGACTAAGCCTTGACCAGAACCCCCCCCCCATCTCCTGACTCTGTAGGTTTTCCAAGGGCTGTCTCCCATGTTTGGAAAGTTGTACTTCCTCATCCTGGCCTCTGGACTTCCTTCAAGTCTCAGCTAAAATCTCACCTTCTGAAAAAGTGATTTTTTTCCTTGTTCCTGTAACTGTTAGAGCCTTCCATATGAGATCACATCCCACCTACCCTGTACAGAACTTGTTTGGACTCAGGGGCTTACAGGTTGCCTCCCCTGTTAGACTAGGAGACCCCTGAGGGCAGGAACTGGTTTTTCCTTCCTTTATATCCAGGAAAGTTTTGAACAGTGCCTGGCACAGAGTTGGGCCTTTCTACATGCTTATTGACTGGACTTAACTGGTAAAGGAGAGGGATTTGGAGAGACCTGGGAAGGCCTGTGTGAGCTGAGGCAGGAGGACGTGAGCAGCATCAGGAGCACAATTTCTGCTCTGATGACAGCACAGCAAAGAGTAGAAGCTGGGGGGCCTTCAGGCCTCTGCTCCAGACCTGTCCAGACAAGACTCGGGGTGAAAGGTTTCCTGGACCTTGAGTGGCTACAAGACAGAGCTTGGCCACAAGAAACCGAGAGGAAGGGGAGAAGCTGTGTGCAGGGGGTGGGGTGCTAGGCAAGCACAAAGAGAGCAAAGACATGGTCCCCATGGAAAAGAGAGTAAGGAGTGAAGTGGTCATCCCTGTGAGTCAGGTGTGATGAGGAGAACTTAAAAACAAACAGAGGAGGGCAGCAATTGGGGGGAGGGGGCTAGTGCTCCAGACCCCAAGATGCCAATGAATCAGTCTGAACACAGAAGTAGAGAGCAGGGCAGGGTGGTCACTGCTGTATTGATTTCATACCTATTTTTTTTTATAAAGAAATGATCCACAAGGAAGGCATTGGCAGCTTAAAGGACAATCCTATGGAAATGGCTTGCATTGCTGATGTTGGTCAAGTCTGTGGATGGACTGCACTCACCTGGGGTGAGGGGCTGTGGCTCCCAGGGGCCATTCCCTCTGGCTCCAGGTTCCCTGCTTTGGCCAGTCCTGGGTCCTCTGCAGACTGAGCTGGGGAGGGAGAAGGGTCCTGGATGGGGTGAGGTCTTTGCCTTCTCTTCCTAGGCAGGAGGCTGACCTACAGAGGGTAAGGTCCCACGGCGGTTACAAAGGCCCTGGCTTTTCACAGGAATGACTCTAACCTACAGAGGGAAGGAAGGAGCAGATAGGGGTCAGGCTTGGAAATGAAGATGGTCTGAAGAGGAAGATTACTTCCCTCCCTGTCTTCTGCCCCCTCCCCATTCTCCCACAGAGGCACATGTGGCTTTGGGATCCCAGATGAGATGAGACCAATCAGAGCCTCAATGACCCCTGAGTCAGAGCTCTTCCTCCAACTGGTTCGCTGCCCTCCCTGCATCCCCTCTGCCCAACTAACATACTCGTATTTCCTAGACAACAAACTGACTGCTTGATCTAGGAGGCAGGGAAGCCAAGGAAGACTGAGGATGGGGTGGGGAATGGGAGGACTCTGGAATAGAACCTCCAAGGAATGACCAGGGGAAGCCAAAGACTGGGAGACAAAACCTAGTCTTCTGGGATTCAGCCCTGAGGGCTCCAAAAGAAGTGGGGGCAGGGAAGCAGGAGAAACTCCCCCTAGTAAGAGGAACCGAGATAAGGTCTGGGAGGGAAGACATTCTAATCTAGCTCATGAAAGGGAGGTCAGGGGCACCAGCGACAGAAATGTTGCAGGTGGACAGCTGAGCCTGGGAAAGCAGGAAGACTGTATCCTGAGGTCTAAGTAGGAGCCAGGGAAGACTCCTGGGGACCTTCTTGGAATCTCTATAGACAAAGTGGAGACAGGGAGCCACATGCTGATAGGGAAGCAGCCCAAGAGCTGCAGGTCCAGCTAAGGGGGGGAGGGCAGGCAAGAGCTTTGGTTCTTGCACCAAAGGTGGGGTGCTTGGGACAGGAAGGCAGGACTCATGGATCCTAAGCGGGGGGCAGGGAGAGCGGACACATGGATCCTGATAGGAAGGCTGAAAGCAGGACTTCTGGGTCCCTATGGGTAAAGTCTGAAGTTTGTGACCCAATGGTAAACCTGGGGAGTGGGACCCTGGACGTTTGGGAAGTGACTGGGAGTCTGGAAAAGAGACAGGGGGCAGGGAGCTCTTCCAGTGGTCAGGGAGGGAGGCAGGCATGCTCCGGGCAGACCTACAGGACACTCCCATGAGGTCAGAGGAGGAGGATGAGACCTAAAGACACAGGCAGCCATTAGAAGGCAGGAGGTGTACGGGGGGAGGGGGAAAAAGGGGGGGGAAGAGGGAGGGGGCGCTGGTTCAGACTTACCTAGGACTTGCAGCCACAGAGCGATCTCAGCTCCAGGGAAGGCAGAGTGAGCTTAAGCTACAAGGCAAAAAGGCAAAGAGATCTCAGCTCCCAGAGTTCCTGCTTTGAGCCAGCCCACTCTGGGAGGATCCTCCCAGTCTCAAGAGCCCCTCCATGCCCAGCCCCTGAGGCCCCTAGGATGGGCCTTTTGCTCCAATCACTCTTTGGGCCAGGCTCTCAGGACCCTGCCTACCTCTCCTCCCCAAGCCCTGCCCTTCTTCACGTGGAATGCCTTGGCCACTGGAATAACGCCCTCTTCCGCCCTAGACTCCTCCCAGGCTTTCAAACTCCACCCCAGGGCTCGAATTCCATCCACCTGGCCCACCCCCTACCAGGCTGGTCATCTCTGAGGGCTGCTCCTCCCCCATGCTTCCCTCAGCCAGCTCTGGGACTTGTACCCTCCTCCTTCCGAGCAGAACGATCGGCCAAGATGAAATGTGGGCACCAGGACTAACTGAAAGTAGCGGGGCCTGTACTCTGAGGTGCTGGTAGCAAATGGCCCTCGGGAAAATTGGGATTCTATGTGCTATTTGCAACTGTGAATGCAGATGGGCTGGACTAAGTTTCTCCTAATCTAAATTAGAATGTGGTCTCACTGAAAGTCAGCTGTGTTCATCACTGGGATCTTTGACCTTTAGATCAGACCTCCATGCAAAATAGTCTTAAAATCGGGAATTTAGGTGATAGGCTTAGGAATTGTAAGAATAAAAATTAAATGTAATTGGATCAGAATTACTGTGTTCTACTCTGAATGCAATCTAGTGTCAAATGGATAGATGAATGAAGTGGTTTTTCTACGTAAGCTGATTCAGAAATGCCTTCAACTGAATTGATGTCATTTGACTGGCAATTTTGTTTCATGTTTTAAGTCTAACATTATTTATGTTACTGTTATGCTTTTACTGTTTCTCATATTGGGATTTTGAGGAAACCATTCTCCAGAAGAAAAGTTGTGTTTATCTGATGGATTGTCCAACCAGTGATTATGAAAATTATAAAATCACACCTGGAATAGTACGTATTGAAGTGATAGCTTTGAGGTACCTTAGTCTCCACAGATGCCAGCCTTGATTCAGAATGGGACTCCTTCCTTGATTAGAGTTGATATTATCATATCTTGGAACTCAGAAAGTAAGAAAATCCCTCAAATTCTCTTGAACTGAAGACTCAATCAAGTTAATTCAAGGAGCATTTATTAAGCTACTAATAAGCATTCATTAAGCACCTATTATGTGCCAAGCCTTAGGCTAAGTGCTAAGGATAATAAGATTAAATAGCAGGAAGGACTACTTGGAATTGTGGATGGAGCAGTGGGCTTGGAAACAGGAAGACTCATTGTTATTAGTTCAAATGTGGCCACAGACACTTAGTAGCTGTGTGACCCTGGGCAAGTCATTTACCCTGGTTTGTGTCAGTTTCTTCATTGGTAAAATGAGCCAGAGAAGAAAATGGCTAAAATCATTCCAGTGTCTTTGCCAAGAAAGCCCTAAATGGGGTTAAGGAGAGTCAGGCACAACTGAAAAATTATTTAACCCCTCAAGATGCCCACATTCTAATGGATCAAGTCAACAAGGACTTATGAAGCATCTTGTACTCCAGGAAACATATAGGTGTGATCTGGAAATACCAGGAATGGAGAAAGGAAACGAGACAACTTGCAAACCACTAAATACACAAACACCTGCTTGCTGACTTAGGAAGCTCATTTACGACCTATTTAATTTCGTTTTCTAAAATTGGTCTATTCAGATATTCTATTTCCTCTTCTGATAATCTAGGCAATTTATATTTTTGCAAACATTCTTCCATTTCACTTAAATTATTAAATTTATTGGCATATAATTGGGTAAAATAATTGTTAATGGTATAGTCACCCTTTTCATTTCTGATACTAGTGATTTGGTTTTGTTCTCTTTTTAAAAAATCAAATTAAGCAATGTTTATTTTATTTGTTTTTTCACAAAACCAACTCCTAGTTTTATTTATTAATTCAATGGTTTTTTACTCTCAGTTTTATTAATCTCACCTTTAAGTTTTAGGATTTCCAATTTAGTGTTTCATTCCTTCCATCTTATTTTTTACTCACTATTTTTTCTTCTCAGTCTCTCTTTTTGCCCTATCCCAGTCACCTTATTCATTTATTTATTTATTGCTTTTTGGTGAGGCAATTGGGGTTAAGTGACTTGCCCAGGGTCACACAGCTAGTAAATGTCAAGTGCCTGAGGCCAAATTTGAACTCAGGTCCTCCTGACTCCAAGGCCAGAGCTCTATCTACTGCACCACTTAGCTGCTCCTACATTATCTTTTCCCCTTACTCTTTTATTCTTTATTTTACCCATGCCTCTAAAATTCCCTCCCTTATCTTCTCCCCCCACCCTTTTAATCTTATTCTATATACTCTTTTTACAATCCCTCTTTCAACTTATCCCCAAGTTTTCTCACCTCTCTAGAAAGTTCAGTCTATTTGAGAACTTCTTCAGAAGCATACGTTTCTTCTTCAATCCAGATGACAGTAAGGTTCCAACACTACCAGGCCTTCACCCCTACCTGTTTCCTCTGTATTAGTTCTTCCTTTTATACTCTCTTTTTAAAAAATAAGATAATTGCTACTTTATACCTTTTTCCACCCAATTCTTTTTAGAATCATCCCATCATACACAATTCATCCTCAACCTTTCTTTCAAACTACCTTGGAAATGATAACAATTTTAAGAATACTAATATTTTCATATATCATAAGTAAACAGTATAAATTTTATCAGTGCCATATAATTGGTCTTTAATGGTTTCTTTATATATCTTCTGGATCTTTTATATTGAATTTTCAATTGAGTTCTAGTCTTTCTGTTACAAATACCTGAAAGTCTTTCAGTTCATCAAATATCCATTTTTTTTCATTCAGGATTATACTCTGTTTTGCTCAATGAGTTATTTATGTATGAAACCCCAAGTCCTTTGATCTTCAAAATATAATGTTCCAAGAGCTACAGTCTTTTTGTGTAGACACTGCTAGGTCTTTCGAAACCTGACTGATTTTCTGCAGCATTAAAATTTTTTTTCCTTGTTGCTTGCAATATTTTCTTTGTAGCCTAGGAATTTTGAAACTTGGCTATGACATTCCTATAAGTTTTCTTCCTAGGATCTCTTTCAAACAGTGATCAGTGGATTCTATCTATTTCTACTTTACCCACTTGTTCTAGAAATTCTGGGCATTTTCCTTAGTAATTTCTTATAATATTGCATCCAGATTTTTTTTTTATCATAACTTTCAGGCACTCTGAAAGTTCTTATATTGTCTCTCCTTGATCTATTCTCCAGATCAGTTATTTTTCTAATGTTTCAGATTCTCTTCTATTTTTTCTAATTTTATTATATCTTGGTGTCTCACAATGTCATTTGATTTCATGTGTCCAATTCTATTTTTCAAGGAGTAGTTTTCTTCCTTAAGATTTTTATCTCCTTTTCTAACTGGTTAACTTTCTTTTTATAATTTTCTTGGATTGCTTTTATTTTTTCTTCTATTTTTTCTTTGTTCTCTCTTTTTTTCTTCTAATTTTTCCTCTTTCTCTTTTGTTTGATTTTTGAATTCCTTTTTAAGTTCTTCCAAGATTTCTTTTTGGGCTTGTGACCATTTGATGTTACTCTTTAGACTAAGAGTACCCCCCCCTTTTTTTTAACCTCACTATCTTCCTTTGAATATGAATTCAGATCTTCTTTTACACCAACGTAGCTATGCTGAGGTTCTTTTTCCTTTGCTCACTCACTTTTGTTTTTAATTTGTCTTACTTCATTTTAGCAGCCTAATATTATTATTACAAGTTGTAAATAATGGTACCCTAGGCTTTGGGTCCTTCTCACTGTTGTTTTCTGAATTCCTTCCAGGCGCACAACCTCAGGGACTCCTCTCTTTCTCCCCTAAGCCCCAGCCTGCTTGTCTCAAAAACATTCTTGCTCCCTGCAGTACTGCACAAACTGGGCATGTGATTGCTCCTCCCAGCCCACAGTCACAGCCAGGTATCAGGTCTGGTCAGCACCACTTGGCCTGGCTTCTGGAAATAGCAGGGGGTCCTTTGGTCTTGTTCTTCAGATGAAAGTTTGTGAGGTCAAAGTTCCTGAGGTAGAGTTTCTTGAGGCCTTGCCTGCTTCCCTCAGGACCTCTTGTTTGTTGATTCACACACATGTACATATCTACTTTTGAGGTAACAGGTTTTAGAAAGAGGTTTTTTAGATTCTGTTCCAAAGGCCAGAGGGAAGAAGAGAAATAGGGGACCCACTCCCTAAGCCTCTGTAAGTTTCATTCTGTGGAGCCCAAACCCAGGATTGAGGAAATGATGGCCAAGTGGCCAGCTCCGAGGCAGTTTCTAAATACAGCAGATAGGGGTTTAAAAGTTCTACCACAGAAAATCCCTTGGCTCCATCTCAGGACCCCCTGAAAGGTTTCTGGGCTCAGCACGACCTGCACATCCCCATTAGGCAGCAATCTGGTCTCAAAGCCACAAACAAGTCCAGTCTCTGAGCTACACAGGCAAGGTTCAAACGCTGCAATCAAGTGCACCCACAGGTTGTAAACATTCATCCAGGGGAGAATGTCCACCAAGGCGTCTACCACACTGAGAGCCTCCTTCTAGAGGTGGGCTGGCTTGGTCACCCTCTCCCAATTTCACAGGTGGTGTTTTCCTCCAACATCCCAGAAATGAGGCAGATCTAGAGTGGGGGCTTCCTAGGTGCCAGAAAGGGCTCAAGCCTAAAGCCTTCCTGCAGTGATCACATTCACAAGGCCCTTCTCTACCCAGACTTGTCTGATGGTGAAAACAAAACTAAAGGTTGGTTAAACCCTTTCCCACATCAATTAAAGTTATTGGGAATACCATCAACTATAAATTGCCTCACATAAAGCAATATTTTAACTCTGAGCCTCCTCATCTTCCTTCCCTTTGATACTTTATTGATGTATTTTGTCTTTATACCAGAGGGGAGAAAAACTTTCTCCTTCCAGATGAATTCTCTCCGGTGACAAAGAAAAATAACTGAGACAGAGAATTCAGTCCCACAGGCACATTTGCTAGTGGAGAAAACTTCTACCCTGGTAGTGAGTCCCCTGGGCCTCTTGATGGGGCCCATCTTTTGCTCTCAGAGACATCCATTATTTGATACAGTTACTCAGAGGTCTACTAGACTTAGTCTTTCCATTTACAT